GACTGATAGAATTACAAATAAAGAAGTACTGGAGAGGGTTGGTAAAGAAACAGAACTAATCACCACTATACAAACCAGAAAACTGGAATACCTAGGCCACGTGATGAGGGGACCAAAATATGAAATTTTGAGACTGATAATACAGGGAAAGATTCAAGGAAGAAGATCTGTTGGCCGAAGGCAGAACTCATGGTTAAAGAATCTACGTGATTGGTACCAATGCAGATCGATTGATTTGTTTAGAGCAGCAAGTTCTAAAATAAAAATAGCCATTATGATTGCCAACCTCCGTAGGGAGACGGCACTCTAAGAAGAAGAAGGCCGTTGACTGTTTTTTGCAGCCTACTAAATATTTCAACTATAAACAGCCAAATAATTTACAACAATAACACTAATATTGTAATATCTCGAAAAAGATACATTGCGGAGCTTGGCAAGCAACTTGGCTGTATGGGACCAGATAGATCAGCAAAAATCTGTAAAAACAACAAGCCGTATAGCAGAAGACTCGTTGGAAGGCTGCCAAAAAGGTGGAAAGATAATGTTCAGTCAACAACGACTGAAACAGAATAAGAGGCAGAGAAACAGGAGTAATCCTAGTCGCACGAAGAAGAAGAAGAAGCGAGTGATGGCGTAATTTTTTGAGGTGCGAGTGAAGGAGGGTGAAGATCGTTTAGAAATTCGGAAGTCAAATAATATTTTCAGTTCCAATAAACACGCTGTTGTACATAAATTTCGACGTAAATGCAATTCTAAATACTTGAAACCACTCGAAAATTGTTTAAAACTAGGTCACATTCAGTTAAAACTTGTGTAAAATGTAAAATATAAAACATTATCCATGTATTTATATTCAAACGGAATATCAAAATACGCGGCACTATAGTTTCACCATGTTCTAAAAAGTGTTTCCAACGAAATTAATTCAATTTGTCGGCAAAACCGTCCACACTATTAAATACTCTGTTGGAGGCATATCTGCAACATAATCACGAAACTCAACAAAACGTACCGTGCTCATAATTTAACTAATTACATGCTTATTAAATTGCATCCAGCTCGACCGAGTTGCGTATGCGTGTATATTTCCCGTGAGTCTGGATTTTAAGGGTAGCGCCGTTTATAAATAAATCATATGAAGGGTGTGATGTCACTATTACTACATTTTTCAGAAAACTACATTTTCCTTTTTTTTTGTAATGACAGATAGTAGTTTAAGATGTAATGAATTACAGTCATTAGTCTCGAAAAGATTCACAGAAGAGGTACCTTCAGAGCCACCTTAATATTCGTATACTTTTTAATGAATTTAAAAAAAAATCAAAATGCAGCCTCATATGATCTCTTTAGAGAGGTGTTTAAGTCAACAAGGTACACATTCAAACAACCGCATGTTGATACGTGCAAAACCTGCGATGCATATATTATGAAAATAAAGTGTACCGTAGATCAAGATGAGAAAAATCGATTGATCATGGAACATAATAAACACAAAGATATGGCTGATGAGGGATACAAATCCAAAGACATGGACAAAGAAAAGGCTAAGCAAGATGCAATCAATGAGGGTTTTAGTGTTTGACTTACAGCAAGTCCTATTTATTGACAGCCAACGTCTCCTTTTATAAACGTCTTCTATCAACATATAATTTAACCATTAGAGACTGTGTCTCAGGAGCAGGTACCACTCATTGCTATATGTGACACGAAGCAGTAGGTAAAAGAGGATCCGATGATATTGCTGCTTGTGTTCTCAAAAAACTTGAATGTTTGCCCGATATTGTTACTCACGTTGTTCAGTTAAAAGCAATCACGTCAACTGCATAGATCCAAAGTTCTTGTTGCCTGGACATACGCATCTTGAATGCAACGTAAATCATGCTCGTATCGAAAGAGCTAAATAAAACACCCAGATCCCGACTGTGGTGCCTAGGGACTAGTATCAGTTTGTCCGTATAATGGGAAGTAAAAAACCATTCGAAGTTCACGAAATGGCCCAAAAAGACTCTATGTTATTTTCTACCATTGTCCAGGAGCATTGTATTCGCTGAAATATTGGCACAGATGGAAATAAAGTGAACTGGCTCGAACTTAAATGGTTAAGGTACGAGAAAACTTTCTTCTTCCTATGCTCCTTCGTCCTCTTATCTTTCCATGTATACTATTAGTTTTCTTCTGTGTCCATGCTATTCTAAGCATCCTCCTATAACACCACATTTCAAAGTACTGTAACTTATTTATGTGTTCTTGCTTCAATATCCAGCTTTCAAGTCTATATTGCAGTATCAAAAACACGTAGAGTTTCAGTGCTTTCAGTTCTAATCTAAGATCTTTGTTGCAGAGAACTGTTTTTATTTTTACAAACGCATTTCTTGCTATTTCTATCCTAGCTCTTATTTTGGTTGTTTGATCATTATTTTGAAGGTAATACATGGTCGCATCTACAATAAATATGAGGAATGTGACACTCAGTTTGGTTTCCGTAACGGATTTGGAACGAGAGAGACACTGTTTGGAATGAACGTACTTGCTCAAAGGTGTCGTGATATATCTGTAGACATATACTGTTGTTTTATTGACTTTCAAAAGGCATTTGATCGTGTTAAGCACTCTATATTGATCGAAGCTCCAAAAGACATTGGCTTAGACGGCAGAGATGTTCGAATAATTGCAAATTTATATTGGAATCAAACAACATCAGTTTTAGTAGATGGTGTGGAATCACAAGCTCTCAATATTAAAAGAGGAGTACGGCAGGGATGCCTCTTGTCATCCCTGCTTTTTAACGTTTACTCCGAAAGAATTTTCAAAAAAGCACTTTCTGAAAAACAAGAAGGAATACTTGTGAACGGCGAAGTCATCAATAATTTGCGATATGCGGACGATACAGTACTTCTAGCTTCTAGTCAAGAAGATCTGCAAACACTACTTGATAGTGTCGTTGAGAGTTGTAGGGAGGCAGGTCTGGATCTTAATATAAGGAAAACCAAAATACTTGTAATAAGTAAACAACAGAATATAAAACCGTCTATATATGTAAATAATACCAAACTTGAGCAAGTTGATAAAATGGTCTACCTTGGACAGCAATTAAATTGTAATGCAGAAAATCACGGCGAAATTAGATCCAGAATAGAGCAGGCTAGAGCTGCTTTTAGAAGGATGTCCAAGGTGTTATGTAACAGAGACCTAAAATTGGCATTAAGGATCCGCCTACTTCTCTGCTACGTGTTTTCGGTCTTACTTTATGCTGTCGAGTCCTGGACTGTGAATAAAATCGATCTAAATCGCCTTGAGGCTTTCGAAATGTGGTGCTATAGAAGAATTTTAAAAGTTTAGTGGGTGGAGAAGATTCGTAACTCCACAATACTTGAACGTCTCAGCAATACTACTGAGATCATAAAAGGCATCAAGCAGAGAAAGCTGGAATATTTCGGACATGTAATGAGAGGTCCCAAATATAGATTGCTACAAAACATCATGCAAGGAAAAATAGCAGGCAAACGCAGTCCAGGACGAAGAAGAACCTCATGGTTGAAGAACTTGCGAGATTGGTATGGTGTAGACACAAGCATGCTATTTAGGGTGGCAGTGAATAAAATTAAAATAGCTATGATGGTAACCAACGTTCTGAAAGGACATGGTACATGAAGAAGAAGAAGATCGTTATTGTCTGAAATCCAGGTTCCTAGCTATTTGTATTTATTGACCCTTTCTATCGGTACATTTCCCAAATGTATGTGTGTTGGTATATTTGTTTTCTTTGATATTAGCATGTATTTGGTCTTTTTTATATTCCTTTTTAGTCCATATTTTTCACAGATACTGTTTGTTTTGTTTAGCAGTAATTGGAGTTGTTCAGCAGATCTTACCATAATCACGATGTCATATGCATATCTTATGTTGTTAATAAGTCTTCCGTTAAATATTATTCCTCCAGTTTGAAATAGTAATGCTTCTTCAAAAATGGTTGATGATTTTTGATTTTTAATCCCCAAATATTTGTATCTGTTTCCATGTATGAATGTCTTCTCATTGGAAAAATCATATGTTTCTTCTCTATATGAACAAGATGGTACAGAAATCTTGCAACTATACAGTTTTGGCCCCCACAATAATCTACAAATATAAACAACTCTTCAATTGAAGGATCAAGGAAATTATGGACGAAATGGTGAAGGGAGAGGACACGTAATGTAATTTTTTTGGGTCGGTCAAATCTTTTCTTGACTTCCGTTGTTTAATTTGTAAAACTGTAATAAGACCAGATAGGTATAAATTATGTGCATCCTGAGTTAAGTAAATTAAAACTACGTATTATCGACTGTCTAGCGTCAGATGATACAATTTCATAGCAACGATATCTTTTGCACTCAGTATGTCTCTATTACGTGACGTTTTTTTGCTGCGGTGTTTTTGCTATTTTAGCTAAGGCAGGTAGCTCGTGATAGTAAAATGGGAATTACCAGATAATATCGAATTATTTCTATGTGAATATTTATTACAAACATTAACATTCCTAGTAATAAGTCAATGCAGGCTGGATTTATTTGTGTAACCGGCGCGAAAATATTTTTATTTGCTTTGAATAGAATTATTTGTTTGGATATATAATTATTTGGTTGCAGATTATAGTTCTTCAACAAATATTAAAATAATTTTGCTTTGTTATTATATTGTTTAACTAAAAATTATAAACTTTGTTTCTTTGATGTTAAAGTTCTTAGGGCCGTATTCTTTTTATACATTTAATGCCGTTTTTGTCAACTATTATCTGTGGGCTTTGCGTCCTATTAACGCTGTAGATATGTATAACCGTGTATTTGCGGTTATACATATCTCTTCTTCTTAAATATTCTTAAATAACGTTTTATCTTATTGGCAATATTAAGTCTATGATATCCTTTGCAAAACATTACATTCACATATGTAAGTTATTAACCTAAGAAATTGAAAATTTGTGAAATAAAACAATTTACAAAAATCCAAATTGTATCTACCTTGTGACACAGTAAGACTGATCGCCAAACTCATCTTGGGTTCAGTGTTAACTTGGCACTCGTATTGTCCCGTATCAGCAACATGCGCCCCGCGGATCCTTAAGCCCCAAAAATCCCCCGAGCTGTCCGTGTGCACAGACTCGAATCGACTGTCGCTGGAAAATGTATGTCTACCAGACGTCAGGATGTGCAAGTCTTTACTTCTAATCCAGGAGACCTGTAACAAACAATGGATAAGTGGTGGGATGTTTAGACACAGGAAAAACATGTACGTATTATGATACTAAATATATTGATTTATCATATAATACCTAATAAAATTTCTGTAATTTTGATAAAAATAAAATGACGATGATGAATAAATTGAATTATCTTAGATGTTGAAATGATGAAAGAGGCAAGGAGAAATGGAAATTGCATAATATTGTTTAATTATCACTCAAAACTTAGTAAAAATATCAAAAAGAGAATAATCAGATCACTATTAGTCCAGTCGTCAGAGACATGATCTTATAAAAACAATTTTGCAAGAATGGCAATTTTGACGCCAAAAAAATAACGACTATTTTGTTTTGCTTAATTAGATTGCTTTGGTAAAGAAAGAAAGAATGAAAGGTTAGATTCAATAAGCAGTTAATATCAAGTTAAATCTAAATGGATGGATGTTAAAAGGATGGACAGGGGTACAAATGCTTCTGAAACAATTAATAAATTAAAAGAAGTATTTGCTGTGTTTAGGTGACCGGTTGAATTGGTTTCAGATAATGGACCACCCTTTGTTTTGTCAAGCCAATGGGTTCATACCAATGAAGGCACTACCCTACCACTCACAAAGTAATATCATTGCGGAGCGTGTAATGCAAATGATAAAAAAGGGATTGGATAAAACATTAAATTTTGGAAGAAGCGTTCTAATAATAAGACAGATTGTTGCAAGCAAGGTGTTAAATTTTTTGTGTACATATAGAAATACATTTGTATTACATTGTACAATGGTAAAAAACTATATAATATTAACGAAGTTGTATATGTAAAGTTATGGTCCAGAGGTAAGATAGAACGAGTTGTAAGTGCGTCAACATATTTCGTATAGATATAAGTAAAATCTGGTACGGGAAATTTCGTACTGGAAAATATAAGTTTTATACATGCTAGTGATATTCGTAAATCTAAATTTGAATACTATAAATATATCATTGATGGATTCGACCGTTTCTTGATGGAAATTCATTTTAGGTAACAATAAAACACTGAAAACTTTGTTTTCAAACTTCCACAAAATATATTTTAACTCTTATTGCCTCTTAATTCTGCCCTTTTATGTTCTGCAAAAACTTACATCGGTCAAACTGGTAGACACTTTAATAAAGGAATAGCAGAACATAAAAGGGCTTTCAATAATAGAAAAACAGATAATACATACGCACTTCACCTTCTAGATCATAATCATTCTTTTAATGTCAAATTTAAAATTCTTCACCTTCAAAATAAAGGCCTTAAGCTATCTTTGTTAGAATCTATGGAAATCAACAAATTAAAAAACACAGATATAATTCTAAATGACCAACTTGCGACTAACAGTTCTCCCCTCACTTGAGAAAGGCAATCAGCCGAAACAGCTGTAGTAATAAGAGTTAAAATAAATTTTGTGGAAGTTTGAAAACAAAAATTTTCAGTATTTTATTGTTACATGAATATACGTTTAAAGATGATCCTCATAAAATTTTTTGTTGAGTATTGCATATTAGAGAGATTGTTCTGTGGTTATCAATTTTTTACCTTATGCTTCTTGGGGACTGGTATACACGTGGTTATGAGCAAGTTTTAAGATGGTGTCTTAATTTCATAGATACCATTAAAGAAGCGTAGGTATTTGTAGATTTTTAAACATTATTTTATCAATTTTTTAATTTTTTTACAATTGAAAAGAAATTGATATCTTAATATACGAATGTTTGAATATTATTTGTTAAGTTGTTCGCGATTTTTGTTAAGCATCTCTACAACGAGTTTCTGATGTGGTGTTCGTCGCCGAAGACACCTGCAACCCACAATCAATATTCAAAGCGACACTTCGGTTTTTCGAACAAGGCAAATGGATGAAGGAGGTTTAGAATATGGAGTTTTCCTGTCGTCGGGGATTTTCTTAAGTTGATAAGGTCGATCGCCGACTCGCAGCTTTTAACTGTGTCTCTGTATGCTGTGTGTCGGTGTCGGTGGTGGCAAATATGTAAATACTTGCCATTGTTGCTGTATTGGCTGAATGGTAAACATATTTGAAAATAAAATTTGCACTGAAAAAAAGTCCCAGAAGTATTCAAAAGAAATAACACCCGTAGATGGCAAATAATGGAATACTCATCCACTTAGAAATATATACAGATATATACTTACATAGCGTACAAGCATAAACTTCTTCAAAAAGAACAAATATTGTTCTCTTGACGTTGAGGGAAACTTAATTACAAAAAACAGTCAAATAGCCAACGCTTATGTTCAAAATATCGATATTTAGCCAAATTACATTATGAGAATGATCGCCGGTATAATTAAAATCACACCAGACGACTAGCTTTGATCGCTGAGCGATAGTCCATCACTCCACCTTCGCCAACTCAATCTTCTGACCAAAGAATATAAAAAGATCCTTAACAAGCTTAACCCTTAACAAGCTTAAGATAGTAGATGTGTTTATGTTGGTCACGATGGGTAAGCTATTCTTCTTCTTAAGGTGTTGTGCATTTCTGCATAGGCGTCCACCGTACATCGTCTTGTCAGGTGAGATGTTAATTAAATAATTCTGTTCTTAGAAGCATTGCGAAGCATTTCATAGCTGTGGATTCCTGTCCATTATCGAATATTGCGCAGCCATGATATTTTTTTACGTCCCAGACTTCTCCTACCCTCTATCTTCCCTTCGAGCATCAGTTGCTGAAAAGTGTATCTTTCTCCTCGTAATATGTGCCCCACGTATGCAGTCTTCTTACTTTTAACATAACTAAAAAGTTCACATAACTAAACAGCCACGACATTTCAAACACTTCAAGTTTGTTAATGGAACTGGCCTTTAACGTCCAGGCTTCCATTCCGTACAAGAGAACAGGCTACACGTCACACTTAAGCATCTTGTATCGGAGATTGAAGTCCAACTTGCGATCAGTCAGAAACTTACGAAGCCTCAAAAAAGCATTTCTGGCTTGTTCAACTCGGGGTCCCAACCCTTATTCAGGAAACAACCCAGGTATTTAAATTGCCTGACCTGTTCGATTTCTTCTCCAGAGACATATATCTTTGCGTTGGGGTAATCATTTCTACTTATAATCATTGTTTTTGTCTTCTTGATATTTACTTTCTTCTTTGCTTTACTTGCAAGAGTTAGATCATTTAAAAGGCATTGAAGATCTTCGATGTTATTTACCACTATGGCTGTATCATCGGCATACCTGATGTTAATAATAAATATGCCGTTAACTTTAATACCCTTATTAGAGTCTCCCACTGCTTCTGCGAAGGCTTTTTCTACGCATAAATTGAACAGCATTGGAGACAGTATACAACCTTGCCTTACTCATTTTTTAATGGAGAAATCTTCTGTTTCGTTAAAATTTTGAAGACGTACTGTTGTTTTCTGGTTCCAATACAGATTGGCGATAATTCTTATATCCTTGGCATCCAATCCCAACTCTTGTAGGTATTTTATCACCAAATAAGCTTCTGACATTCCACGTAGCAATTTTGGTTATCTTATCAAGTTGAAACCGGGAGATTCTTGGCACCCCTTGGTGATTTAAGGTCTGCCCAGGACTAGGGGCCGTTTGTTTTGTTTCTTCCAACATGACAAGAAAAAATCAACGGACGGATGTCCTGAAGAATATAGTCCGGTAGTTTCCTACTTGCTTTCCGCATCGCAGTACCGTAAAGCTCTAACTGTTTCAGTTTCACCTACGGTATTTTAGTCAGAAGCCGCTTTAGAATCATTTCCTTTACGCCTAATTCTAGTAACTACTGGTAATCGTTGCTGTCTTTCACCAGGTAGATTCTATACTATCCCTAGAAAGAGGGTTGCCACTTCCGTTGGGTTCACTGTACCGAATACTATATTCTTCACCTTCATCATCGTTGTGGTCTTTACCCGTATCCCTGTGGATAGTGTTACCAGTGAGCCTACAAGAGCAGTCACCAAGATTTTCTGTTGTTGTTTTCTGAGGCGATTAACTGCATATTGAGCAATTAAGGTATGACTAAGGTTTTGTTTCAGACCAAACAGGTCATGCGTGGACCAAATTAACACACTAAGAATAATTGTAGAACAGTCACAGGAATTCAACTCTCCTCTCTTTGTGTGCTTTGTGGACTTCAAGAGAGCTTTTGACACGCTCACACATACGGCCATATGGAAAGCACTGCAGGAAATAGGAATACCAGAAAAAATAGTAAATCTCATCAAAGAACTCTACAATGACACAGAAAGCAAAATCCTACACAACGGCATAACATCTGACCCAATAGCTATGCTAAACGGAGTTAAGCAGGGCTGTGTTTTATCCCCCATACTATTTAACATTGTACTGGACTCCGTACTAACAAAGGTAAACTCTAATAGAGGAATTTACTGGGGATTAACAAACAGACTGGAAGACCTAGATTACGCTGATGATATATGTCTCCTAGCACATACAAAACAGGACATGCAACTCCAAGTAAACAAAGTACAAGAAGAATCAAAGAAGGTTGGTCTAGAAATAAACACCAACAAAACCAAAGAAATGCGATTTGGTACCAGAAACAACCAACCTATTATGATCAACGACCAGAAAATTGAGAGAGTAGCGGAATTTGTATATCTGGGCAGCATAATTGACTGTAATGGGGGTACAGAGCGTGATGTACATGAAAGAATAAATAAGGCTCGCAACACCTACAACATGCTTAACAACATATGGAAATCCAGGATTTTCCCAACTAAAACGAAATTAAAAATCTTCAACACAAATGTAAAAGCTGTATTACTGTATGGCTGCGAAAGGTGGAAGATATCAGCACCCATAGTACACCAATTACAAGTTTTCATCAATAGAGCGTTACGAAAAATCCTTCGTATATTTTGGCCTAACCGAATCTCCAATGAAAATTTATGGAACCAAAGCAACCAAGAAAATGTCATAAAGCAAATAAGGCGAAGAAAATGGAGATGGCTGGGCCACACACTCCGTAGACTGCCAAATGACATTGCCAGGACAGCGCTGGATTGGAATCCCCAAGGCCGACGGAAAGTAGGCAGACCTAAGGGAACTTGTAGAAGGACAGTACTGGACGAAGGGAGAAAAATGGGAAAATCCTGGCTTGAAATCAAAGCACTAGCCAGAAATAGAGTTTGCTGGAGACACTTTGTGGAAGCCCTATGTTCCTCTTAGGAATCTTGGGACTAAGGTTTTGTTATGAAGCGTCAATTTTAATTTAACTTGTTTGTTTAAATCTCATAAATGTGTCGAAATTCCATACTCTAAATACATAAATACAATATTCCAATACTTTTACTAGATTTATTACTATAAATTTGTACTACTTACAACTTTGGATCCCAAATTCCGAACACTACAAGGGAGAAGCAGCGTCTGGCCTGCCGTTGCATGGATCTCTCTTGAATAGAGGTCATCAAACGCAGGAGATATAAGATAGTTAGTGCTGTTGTTGGCTTCCCAATTGTATTCTGAAACAAAAAATAAATTATTCAATATTTTAGCCGAAGATATACTGAACCAACAGCAGTTGGTCTGTGTTGTTTTAACTGATAAGAACCACGTGCAAGTCGAGCAAGGAAGCATGTTGCTCTTTAAGTATTAACATTTACAGCCATTGTCATCTCCCTAGGGTCGCATTATAATTTAAATTTAAATATGGAAACCATATCGACTCCTCCAATGAAGACTGTACTAACTCAATTTTTGGCGTTTTTAGTTACACCCCCGAAGAAGTAGATAACCGTGAATAGGGTACATTTTTGTATTCGAGAGGTTAATACAATTTAACACTAAATTTAATATCAGTTTCTTTAGACCAAAGAAAGATCAGTGCGATGTCTGCTCAGTCTTTAACCCAGCTGATGAAACTGGGAAGGTCTACTTACGGGAGAACTATGAACGTTACTTAGCCAATAAAATATTGGCTAGAAACATAAAAAACAGTGACAGAACTCGCCTTGACAGATAAGACCATCTGCGTTGCATGTTTCGATCTCCAAGAAGTTTTAGCGACTCCTCAATCGAACGTAAGCGATTTTTATCAAAAAAGTGAGTATGCTACATACAACTTTACTATATTTGATATATGCAACAATGATGGTTTCTGTTATGTATGGCATGAACAAATTGTTGAACGAGGTTCAAACGAAGTTGCTAGTTGTTTGTGGAAGTTTATAGAGACCCAAAAAAGAGATGAATTATATCACTGATCTGTTTAGATAACTGTGGTGGCCAAAACATAAACCACGCCATATTTTTAATAGTCTCTTATGCAGCTGTCTATTTCCAAGTTAGTATTATTCATAGATTTTTAGAAAAGGGTCACACCCAAAATCAGGGAGACAGTATGCATGCTGTAATTGAAAATACGAAAAAATGTCACTCAATCTTGTATGTTCCCGAACAATGGATTTCTTTGATTAGAATGGCCAAAACTCTCGGAAAAGTATTTCTTCTTCTTCTTAGAGTGCCATATCCCTACGGAACGTCGGCAACTACCATGCTTATAATATTATTATACTGATCTCGGTCTTGGGCTACGTGTAGCAATTGGTCCGCTGTCAAACCTGTCCACTGCCGCAAATTCCTCAACCAAGAGAGTTTCTTCCGTCCTATCCATTTCTTTCCTTCCATTTTACCGTTGAAAATTAGCCGTAGGAACTCATATCTTGGTCCTCTGATTATATGTCCAAGATATTCTAGTTTACGCCTCTTAATAATATTTAATAGAGTTCGTTGATGTCCCATTCTTCGAAGAACTTCTTCGTTTCTGGTTCTGCGAGTCCATGGAATTTTTAGTATCTTTCGATACAACCATATCTCAAACGCCTTGATTTTATTCATGATATCGGCGTTTAAAGTCCAAGTTTCACATCCATACAAAAGTACAGACCACACGTAACATCTTGCAAACTTTTCACGGATTTCCAAATTAAATGAGTTATTGGATAATAGAGGCTGGAATTTTTAAAATGAGTTTCTTGCCTGTTCAATTCTACATCGAATTTCGAAGGATGGATCTAGATTTTGGGTAATCCAACATCCAAGGTATTTGAATCTCTGAACTCTCTGCAGCGGTTGTTGGTTTAATATCAGTTGGGTTGCGCCGATATCCACTTTACTGGTCACCATGTCTTTAGTTTTATCGATATTTATCGACAGTCCCCAATTTGTGCATTCCATGTCAACTCTATTGATTAGCTCTAGCAGATGGTTTTCAGCTAAAATCACAGTATCGTCGGCGTGCCGTATATTGGTAATTATTTCTCCTCCTATGATAATTCCTTTTTGATCTTTTAAAGCTTCACTAAATAGATTCTCAGAATACACGTTAAAGAGGGTGGGAGATAATATACAGCCTTGTCTTACGCCTCGTTCAATACTGATTGGCTTTGATTCTCTGTTGTTGGTATTAATAATGGCTGTTTGGTTCCAGTAAAGTTTGGCAATAAGTTTGATGTCTTTGTCATCTAGTTGGATGCTCTGCAAGGCGGTAATTAGTCTGGTATGCTGAATGCGATCAAATGCCTTTTCAAAATTAATGAAGCACATATATACGGGTTTTCTTACCTCCCAACATCGTTGAAGGAGTGTTTGCATAGAAAATAGTGCTTTTCTAGTTCCAAGGCATCTTCGGAACCCGAACTGCTCTTGACTAATTATTTCTTCGCATTTGTTGTTAATTCGGTTTAGAAGAATATGCAACAGTATTTTGACGGCATGGCTCATTAAACTAATGAGTCTACAATCGCTACATTTGTTAACGTTTGATTTCTTAGGTAGAGGAATAAAGATCGATTTTAACCAGTCCGATGGAATTTCACTGGTATCATATATTTGATTGAAAAGTACACTGAGTTCTTTTATATTGTCATTTGAGAGTAATTTTAGCCATTCGCTGTATATTTGATCTGGTCTACTGGGTTTGTTGTTTTTGGCTTGGTGTATGGCTTTTTCTACTTCAGCTTTTAAGATTGATGGTCCTGTATTTGCACTTAAGTTAGGCAATATAAGTTAGGTAGAAAAGTATATAATGTAACAGAAATGTCACAAAAAGACTTCCTAGATTTCAAAAGCCTTGTTTCAAAAGGAATGATCAAAATCAAGTCAAATAAAGGAAATCAGTACTTCCTATAACACACCAAATGTTATTTTTTTTTTAAGTATGATTTAAGTTCCGATTCCATCAGGTGTGATCTAACAAAAGAAAAAAGGGGAAGTCCATCTCGTATAGATCAATTTCCATCTAAAGTATACACAAATCTTTTGATAATAGATAAGAAGAAGTTAACTGGTTTTAATGGCTTTGTGATACTGAAAACATTCCTAGTATGTATCATAGCTTCAAAAGAAGTCTACATTCTAATACATCAGAAAAGTATGAAATCACTACTAGCAGTGACGACGAACTGCAATAACGCTTGTTTATAATGTTTATAATATTTTGTAATTTAAATTCGATGTAGACTTTAATCATAAATACAATTTCACAAAACGATGGTAGGTATTATTTATATTCCCGATTTTGTTCCAGCGAATACTGTACTAACTCGTTCAAAATCCAGATCAAGAAACAAAATTGACACATGTTTAAAAGAACAAATGGAACAATACGGTAAACACAATGGATGAATATAAAAAGAATTTAATAAATAAGAACCCCTAAGAAGACTTTATCTTGCTTTATTCTAAAATGTCAAAAAATGAGTTAGTACAGTCTTTGCTGAATGAGTCGATATATTGATGTCTTCACTACAATTTTAGTGTTAGCTACAAGTACCAAAAGAAGGCACTGAAGATGATCTGAGCTAGATCGAAAACGTTATGCATTTCTAATTTTTGGACGACACTTTTAACAAGTTTTAAATAAAGTTTTTATACCAATATCCAAATTTTAAAGTTTTTACCTTCTATATTAATTTTTTAGAATTGTTATGTATATTACTCTACCTTTTTTTGTCCATATAGGACTTTGTCCGTTGAATTTTTGGTCAGAATTTTCTATTATCTCTGCAGTTTAGAGTGAAGGTAGTTGCTGTTTAATCATATTAACATCCAGTCTCATCCTAGTAATTAGGCTTAGCGGTTATATGGTATTCTGGGAGAACGAGAGTCTCTAACTCATTTATTTTCTCTATAAAATATCAAAACCGTGAGTGCTTAATAATCAAGCAACATTAGCGAAGCTACTATTACTTAAGAGTTTATATTGTTCTATTTAACTTTGTTTAGTAATTTTTCAAAGTATTAATTTTAAAAAGTTCTCATAAATCGACGTAAGTCTTTCTCATATCCTAATTTAGATTTAAACTTAACTTTTAACACGTTTTGCAAAAAATAAAAATGGTCCGCGGTTTTGCATTAAGTTATAGCAACTCACTCTCGCGGTTTCAGAGAGAAAATAGACCACAGCAAAGAAGTAATCTGCTTGTTAAGGCGTTGTTTTCTAATATTCGGCTCATTTATATCTGCGGCTTTTGGCGTCTAGGCTTTAATCCGATTTTATCGTCTAATGTAACTTCCGAAGAAACTTAATCTTTTAATTGAGTTTTCAGAAGTTTCATTGTGTGGAGGTGAGAAAGTGGTAAATGAGTGGGTGGCAATGCATTTATATTATTGTGTTTAAACTCTAGTTGGGAAATCCTAGAAATTAAAAGAGTCTTTACCGGTATTAAACTCAAGTCATAAGAAGGGTTGAGAGTACTTCAGAAAAATTAAGTGCGTCCTTTAATTTCGTTTAAGAAAGTGGTTTCTAGTGTACTTAAGCCGAATTATAGTTATTTTCGCATCAGTATAGAGCAGTATTTTTCAATATTTTTAAATACTGTACTTCTTTGTAAAAAAATTCTGCTACCCGTATAATATCGACAACATTCATAAAAAATTCATCTATTTTAATATATATATATATATATATATATATATATATATATATATATATATATATATATATATAAATATATATATATATATATATATATATTGTTGTACTTTTGAATGTCCATAAGCAATAAAAAACCGATATACAAAGTTTATTACTTAAATAAAAATTAAAATTATTGATATTTCATAAAGACACGGACATATAAATTTTCAAACATCCTGTATAGGACAAAATATGTATTTTAAGTTGTTCGAAGAATTGTTCATTAGGCCTCAGAGACAAGACTTTCAAATATTATCGATAAGAATTTTAAATAAGTCGGTTATTGTGGAATGGATTTACCCGGAATAAAAGTGTATATAGAAAGTGTTTAAACAATAGACCGGGATTTGCGGTGGTTTTTCTCCCCGAAAGATTATATCGGTAAAAGATTATTAACAAAAGACATTGAATTGAGAAACAGGTATCGTTTGTAGCTATTAGTAAGAAATATTTATAAAGCAAATAGATTTAGTTAGAATAATTAAAGAACGTTGTTTTCTGGAATTACCCGAATGACGTTTTATAAAGAGAGTTGGTTGGTAACGATATACGTCACAGAGGTGGATGATTTTTATTGGTCAATTTTTGAATGCAAGGAGGTGGTGGTTTTGGCTATGAGATAGGAGAGAGAAAAAAAATTTGAAATAATAATTATGGA